CAGAATACCTGAAAGTGGGCAATGTATAAAGAAATGAAATTTATTTCTTATAGTTTGGGGGGCTTGGAAGTCCATGGTCCAAGGACTACATCTGGTGAGGGCCTTCTTCAGGGTGGGAGCTTTCTACAGAGTCTCAAGGTGACACAGCATATCACGTGGTGAGGATGGCATCAGCTAGAGAGCTAACCTGCTTAGTTGCTCTCTGTATAAAGACAGCAGAACCATGCCCATGACAACCCATTACTCCATGAATGGATCAATCCATTCATAGGGGCACAGTCCTCATGATCCAATCACCTCTTAAAGGCCCCATCTTCCACCATCATATTGGAAGTTAAGTTTCAACATGAGCTTTATGGGGACATTCAAACCATAGCACAGACGTGTAGATTTATAGATGGGGCATAATATTGCATAGTATGCATTACCATAATTTATTTATGTACTTGTTGAATGAGGAACTTTTAGGTGAGTTTCTGCTTTTTCATTATGATAAACAACTCTGCAAAAAGACTTTATATATGCAATTTTATGTGTGTGTATTTCTTTTGAGATAGATACCTCTAAGTTAGTAATGAGTCAAAGGAATTAATCTGTCAAAATTTTTAGGCATTTTATATTTTGTTAGGTATAGCCAAATTTTCTTTTATTGAACTTTAAGCCCTTATCTCTGGGTACATATTGTGTCCCACCCACTCCCTATTCCCCCACACCATACCAACATTACACAAACATCACACATTCAAAAAATTGGTTTACTTCTCATGATTATTCCCTCACCCCCATCCTTTGGCCTGCTCCTGACCTCTTCTTCCTGCCTTGTTGAATAGTGGGGCTTTCCAGGAGGCTGCACAGCTAGTAAACAGGGGGCAATCCTAAATTTTCTTTACTTTCAGTTCCCTCCACTTCTCATCTTTTTTTTTTTCTTTTTAAATTTACGTAACACCAGAGGGACTTTATAAAATGCAAATTTGGTAACATTTGGCCTTTGTACAAAAACCTTCATGAATTCTCTGGAGTCAAGTAACATTGGCACATCTTAGCTTGGCATGCAAGGCTGTCCCAGACCCTGCCCTCTCTCCACTCACATCTTCCACTCCATTTTGAGTTGTATTGAGTTAGTTTTTAGTTCTAAGAACTAGGCCCGCCCTTTCACTCTTCCTTACCCTGCATACCCTTTTCCTTTTGCCTGGAGGGTTACCCCTACTCTCCCACTTTCCAACTATCCATCTAGGAACCTCCTTCTAATTCTTCAAATAATTGCTCTAATCCTCATTTTTCTCACTGAGAAGTATGAATAAAAATAACACTCATCTTGGGTTTGTAATAATTCAGTAAGATACTTCTATTTAAAGTCAGCATTTCACCATCAAGCACATAATAAATACTTAATAAATGTTAGATCTTCATTTTTCATTATGAGACATTTTTTATGACATAGGGCAAATTATTAATAAATAAAAAAAAAACCCCACAAATTAACCTAATACAGTATGTGGCAGGATATCTGTGCTTGGTAAATGCATAACTGTTGAATGGATTGGTTAAAACTAAGATGTATTATATTGACCACATTCCTCTAATCTAGTGGATTGGTTGGAAGGACTTGGTTGTTTCATTTTCTAAACATTTTATTATATACTCAGTATACTCATCACTCAGACTCAGTGGTTACCAACATTTTGACAATTAGGTTATGACTTTTTTTTTAAGAAAACTACCCTGTCTGCTTGTGACTGCTGCCACTTCACTGTGCAGTACTCCTCAAACATCTGGTGAATTTTCTGGAAATACTGGTAAAACTTACCACTACATGACTTTAAAATATTCTTTCCTTTTCTCTTTGAAGATCATCTCCAGTCTTCTGGAATGTTCCTCACCTTTGCCAGTAATTCTGCAAATGCCTTTTGCATGTTCATTAGGGACTCTCCGATATAGAATTCTTACCCAGAGATGAGAGCTTACCAGAAACACACAAAACTTGCTTTGTTTTTGTTCATACCTCTTGGGCTTCATTTCCCTCTTAGTCCTGCCTGATCTATCTTTTCAATTTGATTCATCCTTGACTGGGAAGATGGAGACCATTGGGTGGATAAGTACTTCTTTTTCCTTCTGGTCATCTGTTTATGCTGCATTGTCTGAATGAATTTCTTCTGTGTTCCTATTTTTCCTGGTTCTTAGACATCAAAGAGTTTAAAAACATGCCGTTGTCAAGAACTCTGGCAGGAAGGAACGTAATCACATAAGATGTTCTTAAGGCTTTGTTTAATAACTAGCATACCTGGCTTTCTGTATACCATTTACCTTCCTATGAGTTTGAATGCAGGAGTAACACAGCTATCTATTTCAGAGCCCTCATCCTCCTGTCGGGTGATAGAATATGCTCAATTTGACCCAAGAATAGTATATCAAAAACCCGAATTCCATTGAGCTTAATGTAAACCGAGGGCTTTTCACTCTGAGAGGCCCTGTGCTGTGCAGAAGGAAGAGCAAGATGGACAGAGGGGGCAATAGAGAGAGGGGATGGAACTAGAAGGTGGGGCCCTGAGTCTGTGTCCCCTCGCCACCATGCACCTGCTTTTTGACTTTGAGAGAAACGCATGATTCCATGAGCTTCAGGTTTCTAATCTGTAAAAGGTATGTAATAGTCATAGCTGCACTGCCTCCTTGCAGGTTGATGTAAGAAGCAAGTAAGACAGGTCTCTGCCACGTTAGAGGCTTTATTAGTCAGGGGCAACTTGTCTATCTGGAAGAAGTGGTGCTGAAGAGCAGCCGCTGCCAGAGGGAATCTGTGTAAGGAGGAGGAGGAGGGATATGAGGAGAATCCCGATCAGTTTGCTTTTCCTCTTACTGCTGTACTGATCCCAGCAAAGTGTCTAGTGAGAATAACACTTGTTTCTCCGGTAGTACGCAGAGACGGGGACTCATGCTCTCCTCAGTTATATCCCAGGTGCTGGCTTCTGAACTCTAGGGATGGAGCTGCTCGGATAGGACAGGGTACCTGTGTTGAGGCAGCTGTGCAGTGTCTGGGAGAGGCTGGGTGCTGAAGACTCTTCTCTCTGATCCTTCTACAGGCTGGTGAATTCTGGCCTTACATCCGTTGGTTGTTCAGCTCTGTCCTTGGTGCTCAGCACTAACCAGAATCTCACGCACCTGTACCTACGGGGCAATGCTCTTGGAGACGCGGGGGTCAAACTACTCTGCAAGGGACTCTTGCACTCCAATTGCAAGCTTCAGATGTTGGAGTAAGTCCCTTGGCTTATTAAGGCAAAAGGAATACATGGTGGTTAAGAGTGAAGGGGAATTTGCAGGGAGTGGCCACAGAATATTCTGTATCTGGGAAGTGAGGTTTCCTCTTAGGGTTTGGCTTATTACAGGATCATAGGACTGGGAGGAGTTCTTCTACGTGGTGTAAAGGAAGAAATTTGAGTCCCTTTCGCCACAATCCCCTGTACCGCAGAAGAATGGGGATGGTATGGCACTTGCATTTTATGGGAATTTTGGGGAAGATACAGAATTTGAGAAAAATCAATTCATAAATCACTATTACTAATTTGATCTGCATAATCCAGTAGACTTGAAAAAATATTCCCATCTAAAAAGGAGAGAAGAGTAACTTTTGGGATATAAGGATGTTTGAAGCAAGTTAATTCTGTATTTTCTCTGTACCGAAAACAATATGGGCTAGATCTTGGGGACTTGGGGGGATGGTTAAGGGGACATTTTCTTTAACTTGCCCCCTTTCTTGCAGATTAGACAACTGCAGCCTCAGCTCACACTGCTGCTGGGATCTGTCCACACTTCTGACCTCCAACCAGAGCCTGCGAAAGCTGAGCCTGGGCAACAACGACCTGGGTGATCTGGGGGTCATGATGCTCTGTGAGGTTCTAAAACAGCAGGACTGCCTCCTGCAGAGTCTGCAGTAAGTATACTCTGCGGCGATTCATGTGGTGGGATTCAGAGTTCTAAGGAAAGGTTGACCAGTTACCAAAATTCAGGATGGCTCTGTCTTCATTTGCACGTAGGATTAGATTGGGTCTGGGCCAGCTGTTGCAGATTTTTTTTTTTATTAAAGGAGTTTATTTTTTAGTTGAAACATATTGATTGTACATATTTATGAGGTACAGAGTTATATTTCAATACATGTATACCATGTGTGATGGTCAAATCAGGGTGATTAGAATATTCACCATCAAAAAAATTTATCATTTCTTTGTGATGAGAGCATTTGAGCTCCTCTCTTCTAGCCATTTGAGAACATACAATAAATGATTGTTAATTATAGATGCCTAGCACTGCTGTAGACCACTAGAACTTATTTTCCTATCTAGCTGTAATAGTTGCTGCAGATTTTTAAAAATAGGGTATATGGGTCATGATCTTCGTATTAACTCCATCCAGACATTTAGAATAATCAAAGTTCAGTTGGTTGTTTAAAGAGTTTTTATCTATATTCCTGAAAGAAACACAGTCCTAGTAAGTGTGGCCAGATAGGATTATATTTCTATGCAGGGGAATGTCCTTTGTAGAACTAGTCTACAATTCATCCTGATTGCAAAGGTCTTTATATAGTGGGGGTGTTCTTGTTTCTGAGGATTTCTAGATGGAAAAAGAGTGCTCCAGAAACATTGAGATTAGGAATTCCATAAAATTCAGCAGTGTCTTTGAGACCACTGGCTCCCATGTGTCTTCAGCAATACCACTGCAGTAGCCATTACCTCTTTAGGAAGAGCTTCCTAGCCAGTCTCGTGGCTTCTGTCAGACAGAATGATCACACTTTCCTATTGCTTGGCTTTAAGGTCAACATGCTCTCCTCTGGATTTTCTCCTACTTCACCAGGTATTTCTGCTCAGTCTCCTTTTTGGCTTTTCTTTGTCATCCTGACCATTATATATTAAATCCTCAGAGTTCAGTCACTGGGCTAATTTTTCTTCTCTACAGTTTCTCCCTCATTTCAGCTATGTAGTTTTTCGGCATTACCATATATGTGCTGTGACCGCCAAATCATATCTCCCTGAATTCTATGTCTGAATGGTTGTCTGCCCTTTCCACTTGGATATTTAATAAGCCTCCCAAACTTCACGTGTTCAAATCCAAACCCATGCTGTTCTCCTCTGTCTAAAACCTGCTTCTTCCCCACCCCAGTCAGTGATAACTAACTCCTAGTTGTTCAGGCCAAAACATTCCTGGTGCCATTGTCATTGTCTCTTTTTTCTTATATCCACGCCCGGTCCATTGGTATGTCCTGTCAGCTCTGCTTTCACACCGTGTCCACTCCCTGACCGCTTCTTGCCAGCTTCATGGCTCCCGCCCTGGCTCAAACCACTGTCACCTCTTGTCTGGATTATTGGGGTGGCATTCTGAGCGGCTACCTCCATCTATTATTCTTACTGTAGTAGACAGTATGAGTCAGATTATGTCAATCTCACCAACATCCTCCCATGACTTCCTGTCATTTTCAAAGTAAGAGCAATGAAGTCATGGCAGCTTCTAAACCACACATAATCTGGCCCCATCTGCTTCTGAAGATTCATTATCTTCTAACTCTTACTCGTTACGTTTCAGTCACAGTGGTCTTCTTGCTGTTTTGCAGAAATACTGTTCCCTCTGGACCTTTGCACTTGCTGTTCCCTCTGCCCAGAACTCTTCCCTTCAGTATCCATATGCCTTGTTCCTGCACATTCCTAACTCTTTACTTAAACGTCTTTTTCTCTGTGAGGCTATCATTGACTGTCCTACTGAAAATAGCAACCCAACATTCCTTTTCCTCCTCTGTTCTTATTTTTCTCCATAGTGTACATCACCAGCTTCTGTACTGTGCCATTTTCTTATATATTTATTATCTCTCTCTCTTGGGGTGGCATTCTGAGCGGCTACCTCCATCTATTATTCTTACTGTAGTAGACAGTATGAGCCAGATTATGTCAATCTCACCAACATCCTCCCATGACTTCCTGTCATTTTCAAAGTAAGAGCAATGAAGTCGTGGCAGCTTCTAAACCACACATAATCTGGCCCCCTCTGCTTCTGAAGATTCATTATCTTCTAACTCTTACTCGTTACGTTTCAGTCACAGTGGTCTTCTTGCTGTTTTGCAGAAATACTGTTCCCTCTGGACCTTTGCACTTGCTGTTCCCTCTTCCCAGAACTCTTCCCTTCAGTATCCATATGCCTTGTTCCTGCACATTCCTAATTCTTTACTTAAACGTCTTTTTCTCTGTGAGGCTATCATTGACTGTCCTACTGAAAATAGCAACCCAACATTCCTTTTCCTCCTCTGTTCTTATTTTTCTCCATAGCGTACATCACCATCTTATGTACTGTGCCATTTTCTTATATATTTATTATCTCTCTCTCCCCCCCAAAATGTAAATTGCATTACTCCAGGGACTTCTATCCAAGTTCATGACCTCAAGG